GTCGACGTACTTGCCCTTGGAAAGCTTGACCAAGAGGAGATGAAGTTGCCGAGACTGTTCGGTATTCGCGCCAATCGAAGACTTGTATACTTCGCGCTCACGGGCCAGCTACTTGTTCAAGGTGGCGTTAAACGCGTGCCGCGCTTGGACCTCGCAGTGCAGACGATTCAAGTCTTCTGTATGCTGCTCCATGATAGAATGAACACTCGCGAGCATGGCTTCGTTCTTGGCGCTCAATTCGCGGAGAAATATTTGACGTCCTTGCGAAGAGCTTCGACTTCGGCGTTGGCAGCCTTGACGTACGCCTCCGCGTTCTCCCGAGCCATGATTTCGGGTGCCACCGAACGTACGGCGGCAGCAGCCTCGGTCTGGGCAGCCCGCAACTGACGCTCCAAGCGCATAACTCGGTCGGGCAATGCCGACAACGCATCGGGAAGAGGCTGTACGGCGGCGAGGACTTCGTCGAAGCACATGGCGGCCTCGAGGCGACGTTGATTGTGGACATCGCCGTGAAGCGGAGGCGCAACGTTGAGCTGCACTTGGTGACAAGCCATCGCATTCAAGTACGGAAATATCGAGGTCATCGTGTGATCGACCGACGCCTCCGTACTTTCAGCCAGCATGGCGCGCAATGAATCCTCGGTGAGTGGTGGAGATCCACCAGCAGGCGCAGGCGGACCAGCAGGAGCCATCCCCGTAGATTCGGCTACGACAGTGAGTGCCGCAGGAGCTACAACAGGAAATGAAGAGTCCGGGGCAGGAAGCGCCAGAGGTCCAGCCGACGACGTTGCCGTCGAAGGAAGTGTAGCAGGCTGAGGGGCGTTCGAAACCTCGGTGTCGCCCTCCTGAAGGACAACACGAGTAATGCATGGTGATGAGCAAGGCATCGGTGATTCAAGAAGAAGATGAGCTGACGTACCTCCAGCTGGTCACGTTCACGTCGTCGGCGAGGGTTAAGAAATCGGATCGCGTTGTTCACAGCACGATTGAGGTGCTTGGACATCCTGAGATTGAATGGAAATTTGGAGAATGAAGAAATGTCACAACGGGCACCAGTACCGTGGCTTCCATTGCGACAGGGGCTGTTGTGGTTTAGTGATTTCTCCATAGTTGCGGATAATCGCCCGTCGACAAAGACGCGACACCGCCGAAGATGTTCAAGCGACGAACCCTCGGTCATGTGATGTACAGTAACTCCAAGGTGCAAGAGACTCGACGGCGTCAGTACCGAACGCTCAGCAAATATTAGATACGGTCCATATGTCACTGAATCGAGGCTGTCCTTATTATTAATAATGGACTGGCCGAATTCGCATTCAGCGGCCAATAACTGACCATCTACGGTACGAACCCTCGGTGGCGGTTGGAATGAGTTCGCGGAAGACTCAGCGACCCTTGGAAGGCACATTCACCGTCTGGGACAGGGGCGAGCCTTTAAAGAGGCTCATGCGACGGTGCAGACGACGCTTGGCGTGCAAGAAGATCCATAACGGATCATTGTTCACTTGATATTTGTATACTTGATTAGGACTTCCTTTTAGGATTCTACCTGAAAAGGTAAACATAGATACAGAACAGAATTTCCACTCAAGCACACAGAGCAAAGTCCGGCTTCATGGTAAGCGTCTGGTCAAGCTTGTTTGAGTGTGTTATGCCTGTCGGTAAACTCGAAGCTCTGTAGCGAGGGTTCATCCGGCAAGGCCAAGAGACTGTGTGTGTATTGGCCGATTTATATCGGGAGGCTTTACGTGACGGCTTGTTGTTGCCTATTTGCACGACTGGGAGTGCTTGTATTGCATCCCTTTTATTCTTTCAAGCGAGTGTTGAACACTCGGTGCCCTCATAAAAGGCTTACCCGTGCCTGGTACCCTGCCGCTGTTGGGACCACGAGGATTCATAACACCTATTAGCTTTGCTCGTGCTCGTAGCGTGTTCTTATTTTTACTGGCTGGCCTATATAAGTAGTTTACAAGGTCTAGTCTGTCCCGGTGCAAGGACAGAACGGGGGCCTTCAGGTCCGCCCGAACGATCGTTAGCTATCCTAGCAGACGTATTGTTGTGGGAACGTCCTAACTACATTTGTAGCTAGAGTTCACGTGGTAGCTCCAACACGACATCTAGCTTACCGTGGCAAGGAGCGATATGGTCACGAATACCTTTCGCGTAGGCAAAATAGTACCTGTCGTCCAATTTACCCTATGGCGTGGGATCTCAATACGCGTTGGTAGGCGTGTTTACTATCGCTAAACTTATCTGGAATCTCCTCACCGATTTAGATTGAAGTTTGGCGCACAAAGGATAATAACCCACCTTCTGAATAACATAGGGTGGCTTAACAACGAAGCGCACGTCATAGTGGTGCAAACAATATTCATCCGAGCTAGATCTAGCACACGGGAATCTATCTGCAATAGCCAGTTGCCACGAATCTTATGATGTTGTCAAAAGAGACTTTAGGATACTATGACTGAACATGTGAGCACTAAATATATAGAGTATAGTGCTGTTTTATGAAAATCAAAATTAGAAGAACACGGTTTACATATAGTTTATAAAGCTTCGTTTTGAGTAAAAATCTTAGCCCACCGCAGCGCAGCGGTGATCGGCCCTCTCTACACCAACAAACCACACCCTAGCGTCCGCGGTGCGGGCGCCCAGAGTGCTAGCCCCAATATATCAACGCTAGCCCGGAGTCCATCCGTCCGTCACACGAAACGCTCAGATTTTTTAGCTTTCCCATTGGCTGCCGAGCGGAGCGAAGGCGGCTCCAATTGGTAAAAACTGGATTGTGTAGCTTATACCATTAAACCATATGGAGAGATTTGCACAAACGCTGTCGCTTGAGCCACAAAATAGATGGTTTTAGATTGAACAAAAATAACTTATACGTCCTGGAGACAGTTACTGCTGTAAACGAATTGAACTTGACCATTGTTTTTTGTTCAAAGCGTGTTTCAGACAGCAAATTCGATACTACTTAATAGGCGGACATGTTGCCGACAAGGGCGTATGATAAGGTTTTACATGGAACGGTAAGACAACAACACTACATGAGAGGTGTAAATTATAGTTGGTTAAGTAGACCCCATACAGAAAGGTTAATAAACTTAGTGCCTTATTGACGTTTAACCATCCTAGAATCATCGTTAGAGTATCAAATAAAAAAACACCGCCGTCAACAACAACAGCAACAACAAGGCGTCTTGCGACGCATTACCTAAATGCTTTAATCAAAACCTGGCACGGATTGGAGTGTCTAATGATAATTCTGGATCGGCACAAAATGAACGCTAAATGCATAAGACATGTTACAATTTGAAAATGTTTTAGCTTTCATTGAGTTTGGTATGAGAAGTGATCAATTTTTAGGTACTTACAAGCTCAAACGGGCAGTGCAAGCGGGTATTCAGTGCAAGCTGGACAATCCATTACAATCTTTTGCGCTGATGTGAGCTAAGCTTCATACCGGCTCAGAAACGGCCCGTGATATCGAGCACGAAGCTAAACTTAACATATTTTGTTGCGTTTGTAAAAATGTTATTTAAATTGCATGAAGATACAGTGATAGTCAACAATAATAAAGAGATTGTATCACGCTGAAGCGTAGCGGAGGGGGAAAGACATAAACTAGTAGAACACAACCTAAACTACCGCCGCGTAGCGGCGGCTCTAGGCTAGTTCTACATGTGCTACTGCAGTATACAGCACACCTGATTTGTACGACGTTTTGCGTATAAGTGTCGCTTTCGCTAATATTACGAAAATTGATGCTGATTGTGAGTGGTGGTCGCTTCGTTGTTCGACTTACAAGCCTCAGTCAAAATTACCATTAAACGTAAGCAACAGATTGTTATCATATCTACCATTAGTCTTTTTATTCTGTTTAATTAAGGTGATTCCTATAATACTAGGTGATACATGTAGTCTACCATTAAGTCTGTCCAGTCAAACCAGCAATAAATAGTAGTATGAGGCCTAAAAATAGGTAATACATATCACGATAGCTTGGCTTATTTGTTCACGTTTACTCGCCATCGCGACAGCCACCACATTGAATACGGGTGTTGTATTCAAGATTGCCAGGGGGTAGTAAAGTTTTTCGTTTGTGGAGATGCAACTGGATGTCTTGGACGTATAAGGAAAACGGAATGAGGAGATCAGTGATAAAATGACCAGAAAAGATCACGAAAACGTAGATTGGAGCTTCCGGCGTCCTGTAAAATTGGGAATTCTTTAAAAGGTTTAAGCACCCTGCAAATGGCATTTTATTCCATTTTAGAACTGAGAGGTAACTATTAACACATGTACTGCTAAGTTTGCAGCATATTTTTTTTGGGAAGGTCTAAACATTACTACCGAGGGGATGTCTGCATAGAGATCTGTCAACTCTCTGAATTGAGGCAAAGCCTTTAACACGCGCCACTGTCACGGCCTCATCTTCGCATCACGAAACTCACTTAGCGAGTAAATCGAGCGCAAGAAAGTGTCGTGGCTTCAGCGAAAGCTCCTCCAGCGAGATTGCTCCTAACCTCTTTAGCCTCTTTAGAATCTTTGGATGCCCGCTTAAGAGGGAGATCAGAACGTGTTGAACGAGATCATTCTACTTGTGGCCATATCTGCAACTGCTGAGCGCTTCCATCCTGTAAGGAAGAGCGAGATTATTGGGTGCTCGCTGTTCTTTTTGTGGTAGTTCACTTACGCTTGAGCGTTGTCCGCATTTATGCCACCTCTTTTAAAAATATGTATTAGTAATATTAATATATATACCGGTAGTACTTGGCAAGTAGTACTGTACAAGTGGTGGTGCAGTACAGAATACCGGTACCACCACTTGTATAAAGTAGTAGTTTTGCGAGTGCCCATTTTAGGGCGAAATGGGTTGCTGCATAGAGATGGACAGAACTCGTCGCTGATTGGTACATGTACCGCACGCGTTTCTCTTGGACCACCTGCTGTTGCAGGAAGCGAAGCCAGCTTCGCCGCCATTTCCGAATTCAAAGCAAAACAAGCAGCTACAGTGTACTATAGATCACCTTGAAGACTCTCCATGGCCGACAGCGATGATAACACCACACGCAACATGTTGCAGTACCTAATTTTCGCGCTGTTACTTGTGATCGGGCTCTCGCCCTTCGTGCTGATGCTTTGGAAAAATGTAGCGTACCGCGAGCGGCTGCGCGACACCTTTTGCTGCAAGGATTGCAGCGATCTCTGTACGCGGCGTGTGCACTACGACGAGGCGGACCTGCGAACGCTGCGAGAGCTGGAGGAACCTCCACAGCGCGAAAGCGTGGGCATAAACGGCGCCTACCGTATGTACCAGGCGCGACGATCAAGGCTGTCGCTGCGCTTGGCCTCGTGGCGTGAAGATGTCAAACGTGGTGGCGGCGATGATGACCGTCTGCACCACAAGTTGGCACAAATCCAGGCAGCACAGTACCGGCGCCAGCAGGCACAGCCGGCAGTAACACTGAATGCCAGCAGCGCTGCAAGCCGAGCCAACTTGGCGTCAAACGTCCCTTTCGACATACGAGTTGTGGAGATTAACGACCGCGTCGATGAATCCACCAGCTCATCAGTGGCAGCAGCATCGTCGAATGTGTCAAATAACTCGAACGACTCAGATGAGGAGGCAGTTTACGAATTGGTGCTTCCGACGCCGAAGAACGAGCAACGAGAAGCACCCAGGGCAGGCAGACGATCAGTGGTCACTGCGGAGGAAGAGGAGGAGGAGAAGGAAGATGTGAAGTCCCGCGGCTATGAGATCGTATAGGTGGCGTGAAATTATCTGAACGAATGCAATTACGACGAGAAAGAACACCGCGGCAAAAGCGTGAACAATGAATGAAGAAGCTGCTGCGGTGATAAAGTGAGTGAAGACGTTTCTGGTGGCGGCTACTATTTATCTGGTCGTGAACTTTTGCCGAAGGTTGTTTTGAGATACTGCTGCTTGCCAGTGGGTGAGACTACTATCATTGTTTAGACTGGGAGCTGACGTTTTCCTCAATGAACGACTCAGGGATAGTCAGCAAGGTAATACCACAAACTATTAATAGTATTTATTTCCCTTTTGAAGACTATAATAATACATGTAGTACTTAACTCCATGTACAAGATGCAGTGCCCATCAACATCTTTGCTGTGTGCGTGTAGATGATCATTTTGCCGTCATCAGGCGACTATAGATTACCTCGGAGGAATTACCATAATAAAGTAGAAAAGTACTGGATTGTCTATCACTGGCCATTTCAGAGCTCTGCAAAACCGCATTTTGCCTCATGACTATTATGGTTTATAGGTTGGAAGGTCGCACAAGACTTTTGTAGCAGTTCATACAAGTAATAGGAATGTGTTTTTAAGTGGTGCGAGATAGATACCAGCGAAATCGCAGCGATAATCTAAAAATGTACTTAAGTAAGGTTGGATAAGAATCAACTGCATGCAAGAAGCTATTTACTTCGCATTATTTCCTCGTTCATACTGATTGCACCTTGTATTCTATGAATGGGGCGATTCTGAGCTAATAAACGGAGCAACGCCTGAAACAATTGCATTCCATAGGCAGATAGATAAGCTCGCTGGGCCAACTGCGTATCTGCTGCGTTATAAAAATCATTTGGGTACAATCCAGTACTTTTCTACTGAATTACGGTAATTCCTCGATTACCTTGCTTGAAATAATTAGCATGCAATAGGAAATAGGGTGTTTGGAGCTGATAGGGATTCAGTAAGGACCTTAATAGAGAGCTGTAGTTCTGGAATTGGAGTAAGGAATATCGAAGCAAAAATTCGAAAAAAATCTAGAGATACCGTAAAAGTGTAGACTCTAAGTGTGTTTTCCGGTATGCCGAAATGTGGGATCGGTAATTCGATCTGAGACATGTATTTCAAATATTCAAAGAAATCGAATTTATAAAAATTTGAGTGCCATTCATTTGTAAGAAGGATTCGCGTGGGGAAGAGTAAATGGTACGAAAACTTGTTCCATTTGTTAGACTGCCTGTACTGACGTGTGACGTGCTGGGGCTATACGGCAGAGTGAGCGCGAAGAAGATCCCGATGGGCAGGTGGAGCGGGGTCACATCCTTCTCCAAGGTCGAGATCGTCTATTAAACCTTCGCGCTAGCCACGAGAACCTCGAGAGAACCAGAGAGCTACCAAATTCTCAACCGCCCTGGCAAGCGACGCAATCTGCTGCGTTAAAGCTAGTGGAGGAAGCTCTGAACGATGAGGCCGTGAAGGCTCAGGTACAGCAAATGCGTGCGGAGTACGCAGCAAAGCACGGGCCTTCAAAAATGATGCCAAGGGAGCGGGCTACGGCACCACCGCAACGTCATACGAATCGACTTAGCGAGCGCGTTTGCCGACAAGGACGTTTCTCCGAGAATGACCTGGTGGATGGAGTATCGGTGGGCACACTGGGAGAAGAAGATGAAGAAACGCTGCAAAAAATATCATCTCGTTCGCCAGTTGATGATGCTGATGCAGCGCGACCGTTTTTCGAGCTGCGTGGCTCGTCATCGGACGAGGGCTCGGCCGTACCTTTATCGCCACACAACTGCCGCTACTGGGAAGCCAACTGAAGTATCTGACGGATAATACGCACCAAGAGCAAGTTGATTGGGGCGCTAAACTACGGTGGAGCGCACTGGATTGCCTTTTTCATTGACGTGGGGAATCGGGTCTGCAGACGCTTTGACCCACTATAAGAGGATATAAACTACGCCAAGATTAAAGCAAGCATCAAGGAAGTGGTGGAACCTCTGCTGCCTGTAAATACCGAGCTGACGTACGACAACTGCACATCGTGCTTTCAGCAGGACAGCGACAACTGTGGATTGTGGTGTCTCATTGTTCTTGAGCTCAGCTTAACTGGTATACCATGTCACAAGGGATTGTACAAGCCTGCGTTTCCTGATCCTGGGCTTGGGCTACGTTGAGGAAAAGCGAGAATGCTGAGTTTGAAATCTGATATTGAATTGCGACTTAAACTTTTCAACGTACTACATTCATGAATGTTTCCTTTTGCTTTTGTTTCACTAAAATGACTGCATTTACTTGCTCAAGCTTTACAGTAACGTTCGTTGAGATCTACATTAACTGAATTCGCCGAATTTGCTCTATACATTCCTAAAGAAGACCATTTTGTTGGTATACATTTTTTTATTGCGTTGCTGCTATGAGTGGTGTAGCCGTAAGTGTATGCGCTGTTGTTATGAGTGCTGTAGCTGTTGCTTTGTCTCGGTAATAATGAAAATGATTTTGTGTTCTGTTTTATCGCAGTGCTGTAATTTCTACTGTACGGCGTTGTACTGTGAAGGTGTTGCTGTGAGTTCTGCAGATTTCTCTATTTTTAGAGACGTGTTGTTGTTAGAGTGCAGCTCTCTTTGATAAAGCACGGGCAAGATAAAAAAAACACGATCTACTGTTTCGTTTTTTTCGGTATGTCTAACAAGAGCCCAAAAATTCGGATTAGCCAAAAAAAAAGTTTGCGTGTGGGTATTTTGAGATACTCCATTACTTAACTCCAGTAGAGTTATCAGGGATCGCTCTAGCTCCAAGTCCCTATTTTTGGAGAGAGGCTTCGTAACCCTAGATTAGCTCCATACCTCGGATTGCTCCAAAACCTATAGTTCTCTAATAATATATGCCTTGGTTTTTATTTGATGTGATTTTTAACCCTCGATGATATTTTCAAGGGGTTTCAAAATGCCTTTAACGTGACATTGTGGTGTAGTGATTTCTCCAGAGTTGTAGATAATCGCCCGTCGACAAAGATGCGGCACCGCTAAGATGTTCAAGCAACGAACCCTCGTTCACGTAATGTACGGTGACTCCAAGGCGCATGAGACTCGACGGCGTCACTACCGAACACTCAGCGAATATTAGATACGGTCCAGATGTCACTCAATCCAGGCTGTCCTTATTATTAATAATGAACTGACCGGATTCGCATTTAGCGGCCAAGAACTGGCCATCTACGGTACGAACCCTCGGTGGCGGTTGGATGAGTTCGCGGAAGACCCCGCGACCCTTTGAAGGCGGCGCGAGCTGTAAAAGAAGCTCATGCGACGATGCAGACGACGCTTGGCGTGCAAGAAGATCCATAACGGATCATTCACTTGATATTCGTAAACATGATTAGGACTTCTTATTAGGAATAGGCCCAAAAGGGCAAACATAAATACAGAGCAGAATTTTTACTCAAGTATACAGAGCAAAGTCCGGCTTCAAGGTAAGCGTCTGGTCAAGCTTATTTGAGTGTGTTATGCCTGTCGGTGAACTCGAAGCTCTGTAGCGAGGGTTCATCCGGCAAGGCCAAGGGTTTGTGTGTGTATTGGCCAATTTGTATCGGGAGGTTTTACGTGACGGCTTATTGTTGCCTATTTGCACGGCTGGGAGTGCTTGCATTGCATCCCTTTTATTTTTCCAGCCGAGTGTTGAACACTCGGTGCCCTCGTAAAAGGCTTACCCGTGCCTGGTACCCTTCCGCTGTTGGGACCACGAGGATTCGAAACAGATGCGAGCTTTGCTCGTGCCAATAGTGTGTTGTTATTTTTACTGGCTGCCTATATAAGTAGCTTACAATGTTCAGTCTGTCCCAGTGCAAGGGCAGAACAGGCGTCTTCTGGTCCACCCGAACGATCGTTTGCTATCCTAGCAGACGTATTGTTGTGGGAACGTCCTAACTACATTTGTAGCTAGAGTTCACGCGGGAATTCCAACACCAAAGCATCCACGCCCTGCAAATGCATGCTGTGAATGACGTGGTGAGACAGGCGCTCACCTCGACGTGAGTATCGTAAAGGTGGCCCTTCGATCTAACCTAGGCCTGACCTACACACGAACCGCAAAAAATATTCCGTATTTAGAAGTTATAAAAAATTAAATATTTATTGTACGGTGATAGAAGACAATAAGTCGTATGAGGCACTTAAAATCATGCTTAAGATCTTTGACATGCACTTTATCCGTTTTTTTCGAATGCAGCAAGAGCGCCCCATTCAAAACACTTTGTTGGTACATTGACGCCACTTAGTTACTCTAACGACCTCCTATCACCTTGACGACCCCACGTCTCTTACCTCTCGCTCTATCTCCGTGTCCTACCGCTACGGAGCCCCGTCCGACCGTTAAACCAGGACAGCCTCGAACTCCGAAGAGCTCTCACTACGATTCCAGAATCCGACGTCGCCCTCCAGATAAGAGTCGAAACCCTCCCGCCTCGTACCAGAATTTGGTGATTGGAATGGTCGTGGCTGGAAGCTCCGCCGAGTATCCATCGCGACATTGGCCTATCAATCTGCCATTTTGTTGAAATCATTGCGAGTGGCGTGTCCACGACGCCACCTGTAGCCTGTCGGCGATTCGCTGACTTTGCCAGTGCAATCCTTGTAAGTGTTTAGCCTTTAACCGTCTCCGCAACCGCATCTGCACGACCACCAAGTGGCTATCCAGCATCGTGAGAGGCTTTCAGCCCTGTCAGCAACCCCATGTGATCAACAACATTGTTCGTCGTAGCTCTGGAAGCGCATGACACACTAATCATCCGACAGATCTCGTAACTATTTCCACCGGTTTCCATACGAATCATGACAACACCGCTGCTCCTCGGACCCGGATTACCGCGAGATCCGCCGCCAAAGAAGAGGGATGTAGCCCAAGTTACCCAGTGAAGGCACCCTCTTCCCTCCGGCTACGATATTTTCGAGTCCGCTACACAACACTTAACAGCGAGGGTGGGTGACATCTGTGGCGCCATCGGACGAGGGCGAGCGCGAGTCTCACTCTGTTCATTCACGCTCTGCCGGCTGTGGTTTAGTTATTTTCCAGATTTGGAGATAACCTCCGTCAACAAAAATGCGGCATCGTCAATATGCTCAAGCGACAAAATTCGATCACGTGATGTTCAGTGACTCCAAGGTGCGATGATGTCACTACCGAACACTCAGTGGATACCGGGTGGGGTCCAGATGTTACTCAATCCAGGCTGCCCTTTTTATTAACCTTTCGTGCGCCGCCTTCCTAAAACTATACCGACATTTACCTGTCTTAAGGGCTCACTTTGTCATAAA